GTAGACGACATACTCATCGTTGGAAGCAACGATAGGATGGTCAAGTCCACCAAGGACATGTTGAATGCACGATTCGATATGAAAGATTTGGGTCTGGCTGATGTGATTCTTGGAATCAAAATACTAAGAAGACCGGATGGTCTGAGCTTGAGCCAATCCCACTACATTGACAAGATCCTTGAGAAATTCAACAAGGATGATACAAAGATAGCTAAGACGCCGATAGATGTAAATGTTCACCTTGGTAAACACCGAGGGAGTAGCGATTCTCAGACTGAATACGCTAGAGTTATCGGAAGTCTGATGTACTTGATGAGCTGCACATGGCCAGACTTAGGTTGCGCCATTAGCAAACTAAGTAGGTATACTAGCAATTCGAGTGCTGAGCACTGGAAGGCCATAGTCCGAGTAATGAGATACCTTCGGTATACTCGAGATTATAGCCTATGCTACGGCAGGTATCCACCCGTACTGGAAGGATACACTGATGCCAATTGGATTGCGGATAATAAGGATTCAAAATCTAGAAGTGGATTTGTCTTTATGTTAGCCGGTGCAGCTGTCTCCTGGAAATCCTCAAAACAAACGTTAATTGCCAGATCCACCATGGAGTCTGAGTTCATAACACTAGACAAGTGTGCAGAACATGCCGAATGGCTTCGGAATTTACTTGAGGATATTCCAAACTGGGAAAAACCAGTTCCTCCAATTTGCATTTATTGTGACTGTCAGTCAGCAATAGGAAGAGCTCAGAACAAATTGTATAATGGTAAGTCTAGGCACATTCACCGTAGACACAAAACCATTAGGCAACTTCTCAATACAAGTATTATCTCGATTGACTATGTCAAGTCGAAGGATAATTTAGCGGATCCATTAACCAAAGGGTTAACCAATGAGCAACATGAGAAGTTAGTGGTAGGAATGGGTCTGAAAGCCCTACCCTGTGCTGGGAACGTTCCATGAAGGAAAACCCAACCTAGGTGGAACCTGGGTTCAATGGGACAACCTACTTGTGGAAAGAAGCACGGTCACTGTGGGGGCAAGCCGGTTCACCGACTTAACACCCCCCCGTTCCTACTGAGATATAGTGACTCTCGAAAACGATGAGGTTAGCATGACGCTTTAATGATTCCTGAACTATGGACAACGAGGTCTAAGTGGAGTAATCGGGATACTCTTAGAAGAATCACCTATGTAAGAGTGAAGTGTGGTCGCTTCAACAGAAGGATTTCGGGCTGATCCTGTCTGACACTCTCGCAGAACCAGATGCGTGTTCCACGACCATAATGGGCACACCCATGAGAACGGAATGATGGTTGGTTGAAACTTGTGTATTGTATATCGTCGTTTACATAAACGGCAGTACAGTTCAAAGACATCACGTTCTACTGAACAGC